GTGATGATGTTGATGATGGTACTCATGGTGCTGGTGCTGTTTAGCATGGTGATGATGCTGATGTTACTGATGATTATGGTAATGATGATGATGATGATGATGATGATGATGATGATGATGATGATGATGATGATGATGATGATGATGATGATATGATGATGATGATGATGATGATGATGATGATGATGATGATGCGGATGATGATGCTGATTCTGGAGCAGATGATGATGCTGATGCTGCTGATTGTGATGATGCTGCTGGCGATGACGATTATGATGATGATGATGATGGTGATGATGACGCGAATGATGATGTTTATGCTGATGCTGCTGAGGATGATGATTATGAGCATGCTGATGCTGATGGTGATGCTGATGATGCTGATGCTGCTGCTGATGATGATGCTGCTGATTATGCTTATGATTATGATGATGTTGATGATGCTGAGGATGACGATGCGGATGAGGATGATGGTAATGATGATGATACTGATGATGATGATGCTGCTGATCATGATGCCGATTATCATGCTGCTGCAGATGCTGATGATGTTGATGGTTACGGAACTGATAATGATGATGATCCTGATGATGATGGTGATGATGATTATGATGTTGATGCTGATGATGATGATGATGATGATGATGACCATGATACTGATGACGAGGATTATGCTGATGGTGATGATACTGCTGCTGATGATGAGTATGAGGGTGATGCGGCTGGTGATGCTGCTGGTGATGCTGCTGATGATGCTGCTGATGATGCTGATGATGATTTTGATGCTGATGCTGATGATGATGATGATCACGATGGTGATGATGGTTATGATGGTTATGCTGATGATGATGATGATGCTGATGACGATGCTGATGATGATGATGATGATGATGATGATGATGACGATGCCTCTGATGATGCGGATGATGCTGCGGATTCTGATGCAGATGATGATGCTGATGCTGTTGTTTATGACGATGATGATGATGATGATGATGCTGATGATGATGATGATGATGATGAGGATGAGGAGGAGGAGGAGGAGGAGGAGGAGGATACTGATGATGATGATGATGATGATGATGATGATGATGCTGCTGATGCTGATGATGCTGATGATGCTGATGTTGATGATGATGCTGATGATGATGATGATGCTGATGATGCTGATGATGATTAGGATTATGATGCTGATAATGATGATGAGGATGAGGTCGAGGGTGAGGGTGGGATGGTGCTTATGCTGATGCTGCTGCGACTGATGAGGAAGAGGAGCAGGAGGGGTGATGGGGATAGGGGTGAGGGGTGATGGAGCAGGGGGACGTTGCAAGGAGGACGGAGGCGTTCGAGGAACACTTCATCATCTACCATTCAGGCGGCGGAACTCGGACGATTGTAGCGCGTGGATCCAGGCACACTTGAACAGTCGCGTTTCGTGGGGTGTATTCCGAGCACCTGTATTCATCCTTCACAGCAGAGGCGGTGGCGCTCGATGACGCCATCCAGTTCGTGTCCAGCTTTCTTTCTTAACAGTGGTCGGCCAAACGTGCCCGATCATCTCAACTTGCAGTTCGCCTCAACTGAGATTTGTAATGCAACGCTCATTCTCTAGTCCACGACCCGTCACAATTGGTGATCAAAGGCGTCCAGAAGAAAGGGAGGAGGAAGGAACCGTTCATGCGCCCCCAGGCCGATACAGGTCGGGGGAGGAGGAGAGGAGGAGGACGAGGAGGAGGAGGAGGAGGAGGAGGAACAGGAGGACCAGGAGGAGGAGGAGGAGGATGAGGAGTAGCAGGAGGAGGTCCAGGGTAACCCCAAGCGTCCCCAACAATGTTGGAATCAACCCTCCCTCCACGCTCCTTCTTCACAGGCCCCTGCAAGGACCCATTCCCACTGAGCGAAGTGCCCCGTTGGGGGACAACCGTTTGAAGATCCTGAACCGTGCCAGAACACTACTCTCATGGCACCAACGCCACGAGTCAACCTGACTGTTGCGTCTTGACGATCCTGAATCGTGCCAGAAAGCAGCGAATCAACGTGACGGTTGCGCCTTGGCAATCTGGAATCGCTCCAACATATTTGCAAACGTTCAAAGCGAATGTGCGTGGCGCTCAGGCGGACAACCACAGTTTGAACAAGGATCCGCTCTCATTCCGTGCAGCTCTTGCAAACAACAACAATGAATGTGCGCGGCACTCAGGCGATATCCGCATTTTGAAAACGGCCCGCCCTTAATTCGTGACGGCCTTGGCATGTTTTTCAAACGACAGAGCGAGATACACATTTTGAACACCGCCCGTCCTCAATTGGCGAAAGTCTCGCAATTGTTGAAGACGAATGTGCGCGGCGCCCAGGATAGAGCCACATGTTGAACATGGCATGCATTCAACCCGTGACCCCCTTGCAACATTTTTCACGGATGTGCGCGGCGCTAAGAATATGGTCACATTTTGAAAACCACCCGCACCTATCTGTGAAATTGTTGCCAACCCCAACCTGTAAATTTGAAATGTCAGAAATGGTAAGGGAGTCTCAGGCGAAACGCTTGGCCCGCCCTTCCGATTGACCTCGGTGGAGTTATTTCCAATGGAGAGGAGTTGTTAATAAGGAAGAGTTCTTGCTAAGGAGGAGGAATGGGGGCGGATGAGGCGGAGGAGGGGTGAGTGGTGAGGGGTGAAGGGTGAGGAGTGGGGGTGAGGGGGGAGGGAGGGGGGAGTCGGGAGGAGCTGGGGGGGATGAGGGGGGAGGGAGGAGGGGAGGAGAGAGGAGAGGTGCGGGAAGCTGATAGTGGGCAGGAGGGAGTCCCGCTCCTTCTGTGTTGTTTCACGGTTGGCGGGGCATGTGCACTGTCTCCCTTCTCTCGCGACATCCTGCCTTGGCGTGGGGGGGGGAGGCAAGAAGGGGGAAGAGACAGTGGGAAGGACGAGTGGATGGACACATGGAGAATACGAGAGGAGGGCCGATGAATGCTGCTGCTGATGATGCAGATGATGCTGATGCGTCTGCTGCTGCCGCTGCTGTTGAGAATGCTGATGACGAGAACGATGATGATGCTGCTGCTGCTGATGCTGATGGTGATGATGCTGATGATGCTGATGGTGATGATAACGACGGTGGCGATGGTGACTACGACGACGATACCGATTTTGATGATGATGATGCTGATGCTGTTCATGCTGACGACGATGCTGATGCTGATGATGATGATGATGATGCTGGCGTTGACTTAGATGATGATGATGCTGATGATGCTGCTGATGCTGATGAAGTCGATAGTGATGGTGATGATGATGATGACGTTGCTGCTGCTGATGATGCTGATGGTGATGAAGATGCTGATGCTGATGCTGATGCTGATGGCGCTGATGCTGATGGTGATGAAGATGATTCTGATTCTGATGATAATGATGGTGGTGATGCTGATGATGCTGATGCTGCTGCTGATGCTGCTGCTGATGATGATGCTGGTGCTGACTGTGATGATACCAATGATGATAACGATGCCGCTACTGCTGATGATGTTGTTTATGATGATGACGCTGATGATGAAGATGATAATGATGATGATGATGACGATGATGATGATGATGACGACGATTCTTATATAGACGATGCTGATGGTGATGCTGATGATGATGCTGATGCTGATGCTGCTGCTGCTGCTGCTGATGATGATGATGATGATGATGATGATGGTGATGACGATGATGTTGATGCTGATGCTGATTATGATGCTCATGCTCTTGCTGATCATGATGACGAACATGAGGATGAGGAGATTGGGTGAGGGAGGATGGGGGAGTCAGGAGGGAGGCGGTTCAAGGGAGGAGAGGTGAGGATAGATGAGCGTGGGCAGGGGGGAGTCCGGCTCCTGTTGATTTGCTCCCGACTGGCGGACCTTGTGCAATTTCCCTCCTGTCTCACGACGTCTTTCCTAGGAGGGGGCAGGCAAGCAGAGGGAAGACAGAGTGGGATGGATGGACGGATGGACAGAGTTATAAACAGAGCAGGACCGATGATGCTGCTGCTGCTGAAGATGATGCTGATGATGATGCTGGTGATGGTGATGGTGATCGTGATGGTGATGATGATTATGATGATGACGTTGCTGCTGATGATGGTGATAGTGATGATGCTGATGATAATGATGATGCTGATGCTGCTGATGCATGCTGGTGATGCTGGTCGTGGCGGTGAGGATGGTGATGTTGATGATGATACCGATGTTGCTGCTAATGGTAATACTGATGACGCCGATAATGATGATGCTGCCGATGATGATGATAATGCTGCTGCTGCTGATGATGACGATGCTGATGATGATTACGATGATGACGCGGATGCTGATGCAAATGATGATGATGCTGATGATGTTGACGATGATGATGATGATGATGATGATGATGATGATGATGGTGATGGTGATGCTGATGATGATGATGATGATGATGATGATGATCGTGGTGATGCGGCTGATC